ATTTCAACTATCCCGATATTGACTGGGTACATATCACCTCAGGACGAGATGCAGAGACAAAATTTCTTGATACCTTAAATGACTGCTTCGTGGAACGAGGTGTGCCAGTAGTTCGAATTAGAGAGCCTAATTCGAACTACCTACTCCGTGCCGTGTGTAGCTGCAGGCACGGAGTCCGCACTAATGGGGATTTAAAAATGGCGGCGCCCGGCAAGATGCAAATGAAGCCCGGGATATTTAAATCCTGGGCTTCATTTGCAACTTCAAATGCCTACATTAGTCACCCTAGTTCGAACTAGGGTGGCAGTGTAGACATACCCCCAGAGACTTTCAACACTTCCGTCTCCTATGTCCATCTCCACCTCACTCCAAGTGTGTTCATTTTTAATGTATAAGGCAACACCTCCTCCCTTTTTTCCCTGTCTTTTCTTCCTGAGCAAGCTGTACCCTTCTATACAAACATTCCAATCATGTGTATTATCCCACCAAGTTTCTGTGATGCCAACAATGTCATAATTGTACTTATTTATTAGCACTTCCAGTTCTTCCGGCTTATTTCCCATACTAATCGCATTTGTATATAGGCATCTAAGATCCTGATTTGACCTTGCCTCCCAGTTTTGCCCTGCCCCTCCTTTCTCTCTGCCATTGTAGCCCATGCTCCCTCCCATTTCCAACCCATCTCCCAGGTCTCCATGTTTTCCACTTACCTGTGGGCTTTGCTCACCTGTCCCCGTCAAACCTAGTTTAAAGCCCTCCTCACTAGGTTAGCCATTCTGTGTCCAAATACGGTGTTCCCCCTCCTCAAAAGGTGAACACCATCCCTGCTTAGCAGTCCTTCCTGGAATAGCATCGCATAGTCGAGGATGCACCTGTCTCTGCCTATTCAACATATTCATAAATGATCTGGAGAAAGGGGTAAACAGTGGGGCTCAAGGTAGTTAAGACCAAAGCAGACTGTGAAGAACTTCAAAAAGATCTCACCAAACTAAGTGACTGGGCAACAAAATGGCAAATGAAATTTAATGTGGATAAATGTAAAGTAATGGAAAAAATAACCCCAACTATACATATAATATGATGGAGGCTAATTTAACTTCAGCTAATCAGGAAAGAGATCTTGGAGTCATCGTGGATAGTTCTCTGAAGACGCCCGCGCAGTGTGTAGCGGCAGTCAAAAAAGCACACAGGATGTTAGGAATCATTAAAAAAGGGATAGAGAATAAGATGAAGAATATCTTATTGCCCTTATATAAATCCATGGTATGCCCACATCTTGAATACTGCATACAGATGTGGTCTCTTCATCTCAAAAAAGATATTTTGGCATTAGAAAAGGTTCAGAAAAGAACTACTAAAATGATTAGGAATTTGGAACAGGTCCCACATGAGGAGAGATTAAAGACACTGGGACTTTTTAGCTAGTTTTTTTCTCCGGGCTGTTTTAGATACTATGGGCACTGTGTCCAAAGGGATAGCTATAGCTGCTTTTCTGAGGAGAGATTCATGGTCAAAATCTTTGGATTTGCCTACAGAGTTGCAAAGCACTATCCAAATCTTCCCTTTGCTACAG